CCCCAAAACCCCAAAACCCCAAAACCCCAAAACCCCTATTCGAGTCGTAATGTTGGTTATAATAAATTCGGGAAAGAAAAGATGAAAATCATATTATTCCTTTCCCAACTTTTGGGAATTTTAGTGATGTGAGGGACGGTTATAGGCTTTGGAGAGGGAACCAAGCTGTTTAAGAGTAAGCCTTGAGGGGATAGGGTGAAAGGGGTTTTGAAATTTTGATTTTTACGATTGTTTTGGGTGATTTTAGCATAGATTTTAACCTAAACATTCATATTGGAAAAGATTAAGAGAGGTGGCGGTTAGACATCTATTTATAGACAATATTTCTTATCTCTGTCGATCATATCCATTTGAATTGTCCAGATATTTAATTATTTGGATAATTGATAATTTAACCATATTTAGACCTTCAATTAAGAAAAGCCAGAGAGTCTGAGTTTTGAGTGGAAGACGCTAATGCTAAAAGAGATAAGAATGGAATCTTAGAGGTAAGCCTCAAATTCTCTAATATTAAATTTTGAAGGCTTACTAGCCAAAAATTTCTGAATCTATAAAATCTTCTTATCTATAAGCTAAAGAAAATGAGTATTTGATCTGATAAAAATTTCCAAGTTTTAAAAGTTGCTGATTTGGAATTATTACTAATAGTCTATTACATAAACTTTCACCTTGTAATTTCTAAGGTGATATTTTAAAGCTATTATCCCATAACATACTCAAGCTTACTCAACAGATCACCTAGTGTTAGTAATCCGACCAAAATTTATAAAAAAGTGAATATTTTTGGTTAAATTCCTTCATAATGCGAACTTTGCCATTTTGGGTCACCCAAATTCCCCAGATTTTTAACAGGTTCTCTAGAAATGTGTAGTCAAATCAAGGCGTGGCGAGAATGGACTAAGCAACAAGTTATATAGTAAGCCTTTGATCTGATATCGTATCTTATATCTGTAGAGGTCGAAGCTAATGAGTTTTACTTCAATGATGTCATGATTCAGTGCAGAGAGGTCGGAAATGGAGTCTGAGGTGTCAAATTTACAGCCAAGAAATCTGTACATATAGAACAAAGCACTATCCTACTATCTTCAATCCATTTCGAAGCAGGTAAGTTGACAGGGTTGTTCACCATGTAACTTAGAAACTAAAATTTCTGGAATTTACTGAAGTTATGACATCGTGTTTATAGATGAGGCTAGTTTTATCTTGGGAGCAAACTCTGCACTGTCTACTTCAGGGCTATCCTTCCTTGGTAATGCTGGCTCAAAGTACTATTTTGGAGCAAGCTATGCTGGCCAAGGTGGTGTTGGGAAGTACGATAATTTCGAAGGTACATATGGTAACTTTTCTCAAGAACCTGATGACTCCTACCTTCATAAAGACCAGATGGGCTCAAGTGGCAGGTAAGTTGTTACACTCACTTCTTTAGAAGAACGAACTTCAGAGGAGGGGGTGTCATTATTATCAGAGCTAACAAAGGTGAAATCCGTGGCAGAATTATGGCTGATGGTCATCCAATCACTCCTAGCGAGGAAACTGAAGACTATGAGGCTGGAAGTGGAGGGTATATTTACATTAACTGCAAAGCTTCATGAAAATTCATCACAGGACAATTGAACCAAACTCAAGCTATTATTTCAGCTAACGGAGGTTTTGGAAATGATATTGTCAGAGGCTTATCTGGAGGCGGAGGAAGAATAGTTTTAAATAACGTTAATGTCGAATACTTAGAAAGGGTAAAAGTTAGTGGGGGATGAGCAACTCCTCAAGGCTCATCCTTAATGAATGGGGCAGGAGGAACTCTATATTTACTCAATTCAAAAGTTCTTTATATCAAACATACAACTAGATGCCGATCTTTGCTCAGGACAATAGTTGACCCACAAGAGATTTTTGACCAAGGTGTAACTCATATTTATGTACAAGATAGAGGCGTTATGGCCTTTACTACTAAAGCTATTGATTTTAAAGACAAGAGGATTTCTGCAACTATCAATAATTTATCTCTGGTTAATGGTAACCTCACAGACCCAGTCCCTGTTGAAGGAAAATTAAGTAAAGTCCTCTTTCTCATCTTATAGAACACTTGGAATTGGAGATAAAAGGGAGTTTGATACTAGAAGAAGCTACTATCCTAAATCCAGCTCTAGTCTGTAAGATTACGAGCTCAAACTTGAAAATTGGTCAATTTTCTTCAATAATGTACGGAGATAAATCCTTATGGTTAAATGTGACAGGGTCATTTAACATTTTAGGAAATATTTATCCTTTCAATTTAAACTATGGAGAAGCTGGAACCACTCCGACAGTGTATATTATTGCAGGGGTACAGCCAGACGGGTCTGACCCTCCACAAGGAGCTCATAGCTTTATCATTCATAATACTAGTTCAGTGATAGGCAATTACATTCAGATATTCACTGATGAAGATATGATAATCAAAGGAAATCTGAATAATTATTACAGGGATAGAGACAATGAGTGGAGAATAGTTCAATCATGTCGCTTAGGTAAGACTTTTAGCTCACAACTTAGTCGACTCAGACCTTTACATACAAAAAGACGTCTTCAGATGTGTGCGTCAGTACCACACCACTAAGTAACCTCCTTTACTCATGAATAGAGTGCTTAATCATGATTTTATAATTGAGAGATTTAACAAACAGTTTAATGAGACAAGTCCAGCGAAGAAATTCAGTGATCTTTTTGAAAAAATGACTAGGGATTTCAGCATCTATATCCAATCTTTGTACAAAATTTTGATAATTTTTAGGAAAAATATCCAGATCGAAGGGAACATCACTGGCAATAGGCTCGGGTTTTGAGCCGAAAACATGATTATTACAGGAATCATTAACGCCACTGAGGCTGGATGCCCACCAAGAAGAGGGAATGGGACTGCCATTGCAATAGATTGCTGCAATCACGGTGGTGGAAGTTATGGAGGTAAAGGAAGAAGTAAGGAACCCTGTTTAATTACTTTAGGTGGAACTCCCAACACTAATGATATTCGGTGCCAAGAAACTCAAGAGACTTGTGACAAAGGAGTCAGGTCTCCCTTCGGAAACAGGGTTGATATGGTAGCCTTCCAAGGCTCTGGTGGAGGCGGTCCGAACGGAGCAAGTGGAGGTGGTGCAATATGGCTCCATACCAGTGATACATTGACAATGGATGCTACCATTGAAGCTAATGGAGGTAATGCAAGAACAGTTCAAGAGTCTAGTTATGGTGATGGAGGAGGGTCTGGAGGTGCTATTAGCGTTACTACTAGTAAAATTCTGGCAACTCCCGATACAGTTTTGAGTGTAGCTGGAGGTTTTGGCAACTTTGGAGGAGGCGGTGGATCTGGAGGATGGATCTACGGTATTATCATAAGGCCAAATCCAAGATATGTTAACACAAATTATACAATTGGATGGAATGGTATCTTTAATCTCAGTGCTGGACTTAATTATAACAGAAAACAACCTTCTAGAGTACGGAAACTTCAAAAATCATATGATCCTCATATTGGGAGTGTTGGCCATGATGAGTGACCAGAAGGAATGGAAGGAGTATTCTGAACTCCTTGAACAGTAGGGTTTTATAAAGAAAACAGAAACAAAGGTTTATGAAAGCCATGTGCTCGAAAAACAGAGAACATTCTGTTTGAATTTCGCCCAGGGGAGCAAACTTCTGAAAATTGAACTTACCAATGATTCCCATCATTCCCTAATAAGTCAAGAAATCCGAATTGTCTAAGCCCCTTCAGCTGGTTCGTCTATAGAATGGGAGGTTGGGTTTCGTTTGCAATTATCATTTCCTTCTTGATCATAAGTATCTTCTGCTTGTGGGTATATACTCGTATGAACGCAATTAAAAGAGAAAAGAACAAGACCAAATATTCCTTCAACAATCTCGAGCTCAATGATAAAAGAAAGATTTTAGAGGATGATGAATTCACAACGGCAGATTTACCCTTCCAGATCTGTAGGGCATATTTCAGAGGGACTAATATCCTTGGAAATCAGTGGACAATTCCATTAGATCCTCCTGCAAAGTTAAAGAATCTGGTGTATAATCCTGCTTATGAGGAGTTCACAACACAGCTGAATAAGACTTCTACTTGGAAGAAGAAAGAGAGATACTGCTACTACCTCATTGCTGTCCTGTTTCCACCATTCCTTCCACTTTATGTGACCAGAAATAGGAAAAAGAAATTTAAAAAGTTGAGAGTCGTAGCTGCTGATATTCAGAAAGGAATTTGGCTGAACAATAGTGAGAAAAGAAGGGTGAACCATGTGGCCAGGACTATCAAAATCAGTGCATCATCGGACTATACGATGGCTTATATGGACTTTTTGGACCTTGAGAGGGATAGAGAGATATATAACGGCCCAACCTTACCTTTGACCTTCCATTTAAGCGGAGATGGGTCCTTTAATTCCTCATTTAGCCTTTCATACAGAGATTGATTGATCAGAAGTTTGTCATTGCTAGATAGGACAGAGAATTTCATTGAAATTTACATTGAAAACCTCAACTCAATCCTGAATTCACTGAGTTTCTTTGAGTACCTACACTTCAGTGAAACCAAATTTTGGAATCTCATAAAGTTCCTCCATACAAACAACAAAGGGATCCTGAAAAAGAGAGGGATCAAGGCTGAACTAGCAATTTTGGGTAGTTTTTGACCTTCTAATTTCTTCTAGAGTACAAAAACATGGGCAAAAACACTGTCAAGGAGAAGGGAGATAAGACGAATTACAAGGAAAATTCCCAGACCTATATCATGCATTTCGATTTTCTCTCAGCTAATCCACAAACTGTCAGCCATATGGTGGAGTACTGAAGATATGAGATGTACACCAGGAATACGGATATTAAGCTAGCCATTGTGTTTTCGAAGCTAGACCAGTCAACTATCGTTCGTGTTACTGATGATGTGGATATTCAGGCATATTCCCCTTCAACTAATATCCAAAATGAAAATCTGGCCAGTGCAAACGGAGGATTTAACAACTCAACTAAAATTTCTGATGCCTCTGGTCCCAAGTTCTTTAGTAGTAGAGAAGAGCAGTCCGATGATAGCGATGAAGAGGATTCTGAAGAATTTGACAAAATGTTTTCAGGCTTGAAGTCGAAATGGGCAGAACCTTTTCTTATTAAGCCAAAAGAAAAGACTAAGATTCAGAACTCTGATAATTTCTCTATTACTGAGTCTAATAATAGTCAGGGTTCTTACAGCCCAAATAAGGTTAAGATTGAAGATTATGAAGACGACGAGCAGCTTGCAAAAATGTTGAATGATGATAACCCAATCAATGATTTTAAGCATAGAAGACATTCGAGAGGATGCTGCTTTAAATTCAAGATTTCAATAGTGGCTTTCTTCAAGTTAGCATTCTTGAGAAACAGTCTCCCTCCAAAGTATCCAATCTTGAATCTCTCTATGATGATAATTTTGCTATTTTTGGACATAGCATCAGCAATAATGGTATTCCTGCTGTATGAACAGAAGGAAGGCTTCGCTGCAACATTAGTACCTTTCGCTTTCATCTACCCTCTGACGGTGGTTATCTCCCCTCTGGCTGCGTGAGCGAGTATTTTCGTATGTAAGTCTTCATTCTATCGGATATTTATGAACCTTAATGCTCTAACCTGCTGTACTAATATCTTCCTCACACTCATGGTGGAGCTAGTCATGGTGCTCTTTGTCGACACGAGCAGCCAGCTAAGAAGCAGCCAAACTATAGAGCCTATCCTGCTCTTGTTAGGTAAGATTGCCTTGAAGATCACGATGTCATATCTTGCTTGCAGACAACTGGCTTTTAATGACAACCAAGATTTTTGGAGGAACAGAGATATTTTGGATGAGATTTATAAAAATGTCAGTAAAGAAGGGACTAAAGATTATGTCACTGATATGTAAGTATTTGAACAGCTCTTTTTAAGTTTAGATTTGTTTAGAAATACAATGTTCTCCATACCTTTCTTACTGAAAAGCATGTTTAGGTTCCACTATCTAGGCTCTGTTTATTGCGAAAATATATTCGGTCTAAGAGCTTTATTTCTCATAGAAATTTTCTTTGATTAAAGCCAAGACTTTATTTGCCCATTTTGATGATTTTATTAGTTACCTCTTTCTGTAATTTTTTAACTATCTATAGGTTTAAAGCAGAATCTGAAGATGAATATTAGTTAATTTTATGACTTTGATTCAATGTATTTCAGCTTGAAGGGGTTTTGGGGTTTTGGGGTTTTGGGGTTTTGGGGTTTTGGGG